TTGCAGGGTCTCCAGACATGGATAAGTGCTGTCTTTAGCCTGTTTTAAAGCTGTTTTGCTGGTTTCTTATAGAATTTAACAGTGCACATTTTTTCTTAATACTTTACCACAGGTAAGATTTAGTTATTATTATTATTTGTCAGGTGTCTGATTCTTCATCAGGATCTGGTTATGAGGAGAAAACAGTGGAAGTAATCGGTTATGCACTGACTAACTCCAGAAGGTTGTCGCTTCAGCATGACCTATCACTGTGCAGCCACATGACATGCGGGCAGGGCTTACAAAGTAAGTTCCAGAGGCCTTAGGGGTAAGCAAAGAGGCCAGGCTTTACCCTGTGGAGGAAGTTATTTCCAACCCCAGAACTACACCACCTAAGTTGCACACTTATGGATCATAGGTGGACGACGACCTGTCCAAAATTTTACGCCTACCATTGCAGGAGTCCAGGCAGCTGTGATTTCCGCTGATGTTTCTACAAACATGAAATATGTGATTAAAGATCTAAAGGCTACTATGGAGAGATATTAAAAGCCAAGATTGAAGAGGCAGTCTGAAGTCTTCAGGTTACAACTGACTTCTTCACAGAAACTTCCCTAGATGTAACTAGGATATTCTCTGGAACAAATGGCGTTATCTATAGCAGCTAAGAAAGCATTATGGTTCTGTTTCTGGGATGATGACTCATCCTCCAAGTCTGCCCTCTACACCATTCTATTTGAAGGGGTGGTGCTGTTTGGGAAAACTTTGGGTAATTCCATTGAAAAGGCGAATGAGGGCTGCAAGATATTGGTAACTTAGGATGGAAGTTCCAAGGATCCCAGCTCTTCATAGTCTGACCAGAGAACCTCCAGTGACCAGTATTTCTGAGATACATGGAGCTACTGGTCCTGCAGGTAATACTCCAGAGGTAACTCATGGCAGTTGGTAAACCTGCCTTTCAAGGTTCTAATGGAGCTATAACGCAGTCGTTTTGCTCTTCAGCAATGAACATATCTCCTCCAGTACTAGGAGCCTCGTTTTTCTGATCACACATACCTGGGCTCGTCATACTCTGGAGGCTTGAGTGGTATCCATGGTCCAGATTGATATAGACTGGAGTTTTTTCTTAACGGGCACAGGAGTCTCCATACCAACATGAGTATTAAGACCAATGAATCAAAAGGTAAAGCACTGAAGGAAGAAGCCTTCTGGACGAAGAGGTGATTTTTTTTATTTTTTTAGGTCCCAGAACATGAGTAGTTCCAGGGACACATTTTGCCTCTCTTCTGGTGCTAAGAGGAAAAGCACATGAAAGCCTACACTGGACCTAAGAGGGGCCAACAAGAGGCTGAATGTTAGTCTTCGGGATGGAGTCAATCAGATCCATATCTCAAGCAATCTGGAAGGATAATTTCCTTACCTCTATATATCTCAAGGATGCTTACTTTCAGTCCAATCTGCAGAGATCTTCGGCATTAGCTCAGAAGAGAACTTCCATGTTAGTGCCCTACCATTTGGCCTCAATGCGGCCCCAAGAATCTTTCTATGTGCTTATAGTGTTATTGAGAGTCCAGAACTCCACCTGGTTCCATTATCTGGAGGATCTACTTCTGCTAGCCTTAGACCCTCAGAAGGCAGGCACACCTAGGTATATAGTTCTTTCATAACTCCTAAAGTTTGGTTGCTTGATGAATATCAAGAAAAGCAGTTTCAGACCAGCTCAGTGGTTGACATTCCTGATTGGAAAATTCTAGGCTCTGCTTTTCCCTATCTCGGGAACAGTTCCACAGATTGTAAAGGTTTTCTCTCCCAGTTTCTTCATTTCTGCTTGGTAACAGCAAGAAAATAGATGCAACTACTAGGAATCCTGGCTTCCACCGGCAGACTTGTCAGATGGGCCCAATGGCATCTTTGGATTCCTTACAGATCCTTCCTATCTTGGTCTAACAAGAGAAAGCTTATTGGAGCCAGCCACTAACTATGTCCCCATCATTGGAGTTGCACCTTACCCTGGCAGCTGAAAGAGGGATTAGATCTCTGAGTTTCTAATGAACAGAACCTCATTGTTCAATTATTAGCTCGAATTCCAGTTTTTATAAGATGGGTTGCACAGTGTTTGGACCAAGTTGCACTATATTTCCATTCATTTGTATGGAATTAAGTCATTTTCAAGGCTCTTCTTCACTTCAGAGGCTTGCTGAAGAACGAGTGGCTCCAAATTTGCTCAAATATCAATGCAACTGTATCCTATATCTACCAAGATGGGTCTCACAGATACGTATAGATGGAATTCCAGCCCATAATGATCAGGGCACAGAAGAACAACCAGTGGCTCAGAATCCCATGGCTGTTTGCTGGAGCCGAATAACTGTGGACAAGGTGGATTGGCAACCATGTCCTGACGTATCCTCTTGGTTGACGCAGATTGTCTGATACCCTACATAGATCTGATGGCCATTTCTTGGAACTACCAGGTCCAGAAGTATTTTTTACATGCTAGGACCAGAATGCTCAGGTTCAGGATACACTGGCTCAAATTTAGCATTTTAGTCCGATGTACATATTTTCCTGTTTTTGACCTTCTTAAAAAGGCAAAGCAAAAGGTGACACTGGAAGACCGTGTTGACTCTAATTCCTATGATGAATAAGATGATTCTGGAACCTCCAAGGGAAATTCCTGTACGTCCAGACCTATTACAAGGCCCCATGACACACCAGGATCCTCAAGTTCTGGTGTTGATGCGGGAGTCCATATTAGTATAGGCATTCCTTTGACGGTCATTGAGATCCTCTTACAATCCTATACAGGCTTTACTAAGCTTGACATGCTTTTGTCTGTTGGAATTACTCCTCGTTCAGGTCTTGAAAGGTTCTGTGTTATAACACTCTAGAGGAGCACTTAGCTGCACTTTGCTTCATATAGGCATTGATTGAAATCATGCCTCCACTGAGTGTGGTGAAGCCAATATGTGACATACCACTGGTCACACAGGCCCTGACTGAACCATTATTCGAACCTCTAGAAGGAGCTTCCATGGTGATAGCACAGAAAGTGCTGATGGCTGGTACCCCAGCAAGGAAAATGGGTGAACTCCAGGCTTGATCCTGTGAACCCCCTTTCACTACTTTTCAACAGATATGGTCGTCCACCTGAAGATCCTGCCTATGGTGAATGCTTATCTATGTCATTCTCTACCTGTACTGAAGGGTACCGATTGAGCGTTGATGCCCCTGGTGCTTTGCTTCATGTAAGCAACAATTGAACTCAAGCCTCCGCTGAGGGTGTTGAAACCAATATGTGACGTACCACTGGTCTCACAGACTCTGACTGAACTTCTAGCAGGAGCTTCCATGATGTTAGCCCAGAAAGTGCTGGTGGCTGGTACCCCAGCAAGGGAAATGGGTAAACTCCAGGCTTGATCCTGTGTACTCCCATTCACTGAATTTCAACAGGATATGGTTGTCTTGCATGTAGCACCAGTGATCCTGCCTAAAGTGAGAGCCTTTCAATGCTGTTCTCTACCTGTAGCAAAGAATTTGGGGCATTCTCCACTAGTGCTGTTACAGCATCTCATGAGCTTCCATGGCAATGGTCTCTGCTGAAAACTTGTAAAGTTGGCATTTGGACCACTTTGAACTAGTTTGTCCTGCATTACATATTGGACATTGAAGCAATTTATGAGGCACAATTTGGACGTCACGTCCGTTCTCTACCTGTGCTGGAGGGTATCAGGGCACTCTCCTTTCATGCTGTTGCAGCATCATGGGTTCTGACACTTTTTGTAAGCTAGCATTTGAACCTCTTTAGACACGTTTGTCTGGCATTTCATACTGTTCGTTAAAACAGTCTATGATGCACAATTTGGTACTCAAGTACTTATCTCAGTTAATTCTTCTATCTATGTTGAATTATTCTGATAATTTGATTGGCTATTCTGTCCCTCCCTTTGTAATCTTGGGTATTCCCCATGTGTATATGCTGCCATGATTAGCCAGGAAAGTGGAAAATTTATTCATACTTACCGTAATTTTCTTTTCCTGGCTATTCATGGCAGCATATACTTCCCACCCATTAATGTCTCTATTTATGTACTGTAGAGCTTGTAAACTGACTGAGGACCTTAGGGATGGAGCCTCCTTTTAAAACCTTGGTGGTTTTTCCTGTCCTATTGGCTGTAGGGGAGGAGCTAACCCATGTGTATATGCTGCCATGAATAATAGCCAGGAAAAGAAAATTACGGTATGAATACATTTTCCACTATTGCGCTGACTCTGCCATCCCCGCTTCATTGTGTTATGACCCATATCTGTATAGGAAATTTAGCATGATTTTTTGTTCCCAATGCTGTATGAATCAGTTTTTGTCTCTACCATGTTTTTGCTTTTGTATTACTATCCTCTATCGCTCCCTGGTTGCCTTGGCTTTTTTCCTTAGTTTTCTGCATTCCTTTATGATTATCCTCAGAGTAGCATTCAAACATTAAAAATCATTTAATTTAAAGTCAGATGTGTCTTTTTCTTTTTTTTTGTCATTGTATTGAGCATCATTAGGTGCGTGATGACACAGAACATGAAGCCTCTAGTGGCTGTCTGGTATTCTGAAATAGCAGTGTTTTACATTGTCCAAGAAAAGGGACGTGTTAGGATGTAATGGGTTTTGGTGCTTCGTGTGTCTCTTCACTGCCTGCAGCATTCTCTGAAGCACCCCTTCTCTCTGATGCCCCAAGATTTCTCTTAGACATCCTCCTTTTTCTTCTCGTTAATGTACTAAATCCCTGAAATAGCTGGTGGCACTTTAGAACCCATCATCTCCAATCTCTACTCCATCTGAGATTTTGCACTCTCTGTTCACCTGATTTAATGCTCTAATAATTCATGCTGCACTCCTTCAGTTCAGCCCTCTACCTTTCTAAGCAATGCTACTGAATTTCCATCATCGCATTCAAACCTTGCAATCCCAAACTCCGCTTCTACACTTTCACACACTCCAACAAATTAACAACTTTGCAACTTCATCAAAATGGTTAAAGGACCACTATAGTGCCAGGAAAACACTAGTTTTCCTGGCACTATAGTACCCCACCCTCAGGGTCCCCCTCCCGCCGGGCTGGATGGCGAGGAAAGGGGTTAAACTCACCTCACAGTTCCGGACGGGGAGCTATCCTCCTCTTCGGCCGAATGTGCATGCGCGGCAGGAGCTGCGCGCGCATTCAGCCGGTCTCATAGGAAAGCATTTACAATGCTTTCCTATGGACGCTTGCGTCTTCTCACTGTGATTTTTCAGTGAGAAGCATGCAAACGCCTCTAACGGCAGTCAATGAGACAGCCACTAGAGGCTTTAGAGGCTGGATTAACCCATTTATAAACATAGCAGTTTCTCTGAAACTGCTATGTTTATTAAAAAAAAAAAAGGGGGGGGGGTTAATCCTAGAGGGACCTGGCACCCAGACCACTTTATTAAGCTGAAGTGGTCCTTTAATAAAGAAGAAATCCCAACACTCTCCTTCTCCCAGTAACCCTATAACCATCTTGTCACTACTTTACCAGTAAACTGTTTTCTCCCGTTACTGAAGAGATTTCTGCTCTATCCTCTGCCTCCTAGGTCATATCATCATTTGCCCTCTTTATCCATCCTTTGCTTAACCCCTTAAGGACCAAACTTCTGGAATAAAAGGTAATCGTGACATGTCACACATGTCATGTGTCCTTAAAGGGTTAAAGCTTCACCCTCTCCCTTCTGTCATCAACTTCACTCCATTCTACATGCTGCAATATTTCCATCAATAGGAAGTCTTACTACCATTGTAACTCCCTAGCAAATCTTGAGTTTTCCCTGGTTGAGTATTTTTCTTTAATACAACTGTGTGACTTTCTGGTTTCTGCTATCAAGTCTATAATGTTCTGACACTTTGATGACAGTCTGTATTGCTCCTATCACAGGAAAAATAACCGGGGGAAACGATGCAAGAGAACAAGAAGTATAATTCTTTACATAAATAACAGAATGGCTGTCAGTACATGTAACATAACCCTGTATCATTTAACATTGCTTTTGGTTATTTCCAATTCCACAAGGGCCTTTTATTAAACTGCTACCTTTTTAGTAATTTTATAAACCTTAGGGCAGGGGTGCCAAAAA